GGTAAGCAGCTGGGAAATGATGGGATATGACAAAATGTTAAAAACAGGGGGGGATATGTGGTTTGGGTGGTTTGGGCTTTTGTTTAATTTAAAAGTATGAAAGAAAGGGGAAAATACCTAGGGGTTGGGGAGAGGCATGTATTGTCCCTTTTTTAAAGGAAAGGGGGCAAAGAGAAATTTTAAAAAATTAAAGAGGAATAAATTTTTTTGAGTATCCCGGAAAAAATATACGGTTGGGTTATTATTGAAAGAATTTGAGTAAAAAGAATGTGGGGGTGGGATAGCAAGGGGTTTCAGAGTGGGTAGGGGATGTGTGATCAAGGTTTACATTGAAGCATATATGTGAACAGTAAATTTTGATAAGTAGGGAAGTTTTTATTGATTTTGGATTTTGAAAAGGCATATGATAGAGTGGATGGGGGGGAAATTTGGGAAAAAGTTGCAAAATATTGGAATAGGTGGGAGGTTACTAAAATGCTGTAAAAAGGGTTTTTTTGAGGATAGTGGGCTCAGGTTAGGGTGTGGACAAAAGAGGGGGATACTTCCCCGGGAAAAAATAGGTTTAGACAGGGATGTGTAATGTCACCCGGTTTTTTAATATATTTTGATGGGGTTGTAAAAGAAAATAAAAGTAGGTTTTTCGGGAGGGGGTGGGATTAATTATGGGGAATCAAATTTTAAAATGGGAATTTAACCCGTTTCTTTTTTTGATGATACGTGTTAGGGAGATTCTAAAAAAAAATTGCAAAGGTTTGGTGAGTTTTTGGGAAAGGGGTAAAGGTAGAAAGTTGAAAGTGAACATGAAAAGAGTAAGGGGAGGGTATCAATGATTTAGATAAAGAAAAATTGGATATAAAAAGGGGAGGGGGTATGGAAGAAGTGAATGTTTTTAGAACTTGGGAGTTGCGTTTTCGGCGGATGGTTTTTGAAGGGTGAGGTTAATATGAATTGATGAGGGAAAAAAGGTGAGTGGTGCATTGAGGTATATGTGGAGTCAAAAAACGTTATCTATGGAGGCAAAGAAGGGAATGTATGAAAGTATATTTAGTACCAACACTTTATATGGGTGTGAAGCTTGGGTGGTAAATGCAGCAGCGAGGAGACGGTTGAAGGCAGTGGAGATGTCCTGTCTAAGGGCAATGTGTGGGTTAATATTATGCAGAAAATTCGGAGTTGTGGAAATTAGGAAAAGGTGGGAGTTAATAAAAGTATTAGTCAGAGGGGCAGAGAGGGGTTGTTGAGGTGGGGTTTGGTCATTTAGAGAGAATGGATTTAAAGTAGATGACATGGAAAGCAATAAATCTATGGGAAGGAAGGCCCAGGTAGAGGTCGTCCTCGAAGGTTGAGAGAGGGGGTAAAGGGGTTTTTTAGGGCAAGGGGCTTGGACTTCCAGCAAGCGTGCGTGAGCGTGTTTTGATAGGAGTGAATGGAGCGAATGGTACTTGGGATGACGATTTTGTTGGAGTGTGAGCAGGGTAATATTTGTGAAGGGATTCGGGAAATCGGTTTTCATATAGTCGGGCTTGAGTCCCGGAAATGGGAAGTACAATGCCTGCACTTTAAAGGAGGGGTTTGGGTATTGGCAGTTTGGAGGGATATATTGTGTATCTTTATACGTATGTGCTTCTAAACTGTTGTATTCTGAGCCCCTCTGCAAAAACAGTGATAATTTTGTGAGTGTGGTGAAAGTGTTGAATGATGATGAAAGCATTTTCTTTTTGGGGATTTTCTTTCGTTTTTGGGTCACCCTGCCTCGGTGGGAGACGGCAACTTGTTGAAAAAGAAATATGAAATATTATATATAATTATATAATAACACTGATTTTGGGCCGAAGGAGACTCGAACTTGGAAAAAGGGTACGCGTGCTATACCATTCTCACCACATTGGACCAATACCTTGGCGTCCAGTTTGCGCTAGACTTGATCCAAGGCAGCCAGCTTCCAGAGAGAAGGCTTACAGCTTTTCATCTCATCCCCTGCATGCATCGACCAACTAGAGAGTTTAACAATGCAAGGAATTCGCAAGAGCAGGCGAAATATACACAAACACTGATCTCTGGCCGAAAGAGACTCGAACCTACAAACCCAGAGTCAGTGTTTGTGTATATTTCGCCTGCTTTTCTGGAATTCCTTGCATTGTTAAATCTCTAGTAAGGCTGATCCTGCAGGAGAGGGAAGGGGAAAAGCTGTAAGCCTTCTCCTGAAAGCTGGCTGCCTTGGATCAACGTCTAGTACAAGCTGGACGCCAAGGTATTGGTCCAGTGTGGTGAGAATGGTAAGGCACTGTGTACCTTGTTCCGAGGTTCGTAGGTTCGAGTCTCCTTCAGCCAGACATAAGTGTTTGTGTATATTTCGCCTTTTTCTTGTGTTTCTTTATTATTAAATTATTGTAAACTTATATAGAATATATTTAGTTGGGTTAGGCTAAAATAAATTGTTCTTGTTATAATAAGGTTAGGTAAGTTTTTTAAGATTCTTTTGGTGCAAAATTATAAATTTTTACTGAGTATTAATGAAAAATTATATATCTTTAAACATATAAGAGAAAATTTTAGAAAAGACTTATTTTTAAATGAGTTCTTGCTAATTGACCAGTTTTAATATTCGGCACGACATATATATATATAAAATATAATATATAATATATATATATATATATATATATATATATATATATAATATATTTACAATCGCGAACAAGCAATAACAGGATGAAAAAAAACTACGGGAGAAGTTGAATGATAGCTCTAGGCCTATCACGTAGAGAGGTAGGCGGCAGGAAGGGGCCCCAGGCACACCAGTACCCATAACGAGAAATATGAAAATATTATAGTTTTAGAAGGGCTGGCTGTGTTCAAATTTACCATAATATCAGTCTTTCTGAGTGTGGGTATTGGTGTACCCGGGGGCACTTTCTGCCTCGCTCCACCCCAAACCCCAAATTTCCCTCTGAGGGTATTTGCTGGGACCTCCTCCTCTTGTCCGCACATTGAAAGTTCCTGAGTGTTGACTGCAGCTCGTCAAACCTAAAACCATCACTCCCCCCCCCCCACTCGTGGTTGTTTTGTATCTTGTACCGCTTGTTCGCGATCTTTACATAACATAATAATTATTAGTGTACACTAGCGGCCTCGTTCAAGGCAGGTGAGAGTGCACAACCTAAACACAACCTTCACAGCTTATACAATCTCAGTCAAGTATTGTGATTACTGGAAGCACTTTTGAAGACCCGTGAAGCGCACTTCTTGAAACATAGACGGGAAAAATAATATAATATGCACCTGGAAGTTACTTGATGTATTAGTCACGAAAGCAAAATATTGATAATAAATATTTATACAAGTACATATATAAGATATACAGACCATAGCTGACGTCAGTGACATACTACTATATAGAAAGCCCCTTGTTATGCTGAGCATTTCCCGCAAATTAGGTCACATTTGTCCCCAGGATGCGACCCACATCAGTCGGACAAAACACCCAGGTACCTTTTTTTAACTGATAAGTGAACAGGGACAGCAGGAAACGCGTCCTAATGTTTCTGCCCGTACTGGGGATCGAACCACGGACCTCAGTGTGTGAGATGTGTGCGCTAGCAATCAAGGCTTAGCAGACAGTGCAAAATACCTCAAATGAAAAACAGGGGTTCGATGTGTACGTTAAGGTAAAACTAAGTGTAAAGGGACCAACACTCTGCACCCTCCCACTGTGCATACGGGGAATTACCAACAATCCCTTGGCTGCCTTCAAGAAGAAACCCGATGAGTGCCTCAAGTGAGTTCCTGAACAACTGGGCTGTGGTGCACATATTGGACTAGGGCTGAGAGCACCAACAGCCTGATCGATCAGGCCTGATCTGGGACCGGGCCGCGGGGACGATGACTTCCGGAAGCGACTACAACTGACCCTTCGACATGAGTGTTTGAGCTTTGCGAGGATACATGTGTTTTTTCAAGAATTAATGTACCCACCTATATGGGCTTTCAGGGGTCGAATCACAGCACCTGGCCCCGAATGCTTATTAAGATATTGTTTGAAGATGAGGTAACATTGAGACTTACAACACTACGTAATTCTGTCAGTAAACTTTGGTACAGTATTATACGGTGCCCCGTGGCCTGATGGTTAACGCTCTTGCTTCACACGGCGAGAGTCCGGGTTCGATTCCCAACAAGGGCAGAAACATTGGGCGTGTTTCCTTACACCGGTTGTCAATGTTCGCCTATCAGTAAAATAGGTACCTGGGTGTTAGTGGACTGATGTGGGTCGCATCCTGGGACAAAACTGACCTAATTTGCGATAAATGCTCAGCATAACAAGGGACTTTCTATATAGTAGTATGTCATTGATGTCAGCTATGGTCTGTATACCTTGTACATGTACTTATAGAAATAAAATTATTATTATTATTATTATTATTATTATTATTATTATTATTATTATTATTATTATCTTCACCTTCAAAAAGATAGAAAATGTAACCAATAAATATAAGATAATGGTAGACTGAGGGAAATATCAATCCTAAGACCGTGGTCACTCCTTTGGCCACATAACTTTATTTAGGTACAGGTGTACAGGTACACGTAAGTGCAATTATCTTACATAATGTAAATTACCTAGTTTAACCCCCCAAAAAAGTCAAAGTGACTTACTTCCACTTGGATCGCTCCCAGGGCGGAAATGTTTCGTAATGTCTCTTGAGTGTTTGCTTTCGTGATTAGTTTTACTAAGTCTTCGCAACTCTTGGCATTTTTGCCTTCTGACGTGAGCATTGAGAGTAAGAGTTAATGTAGAGTGATGCTTGTGTCTATACTGGTGGTGTACAAGTGACGTGCAGCCTTCTTGACCCCCTAATAGATAGGCTTTAAATGCAATCAGCAAAATTAAAAACTATCACGTAACTCTCGGAAACATCAGCGGCGCAAGAGCGTAAAATAACATGAATGAGCAACTGCAGGTCTCCTGCGCTGCGAGTCACTGAAGGTATTTAAGAAAGTTTCTCCTGGATGCGCAGAACAGTCACTTGTTGCTCCAGGCTGGGTGTAGGTGTTCGTAGCTTCCTGAAATCTAGTGAGTTATTTCCCAAATTGCAGAGCATCACTATATGTACTCAAGATAAATGAGGATAGGTCTTAACACTGCTGTCTTTCTGGCTATTTTGTCAAGATAGAATGTGTTTGTATTTCTGTGAGGCGTGACGCACAGAGGTATTGATTGCTACCTCACCCAGTCTAGCTGCCTCCCTCAGTCTGGTGGACACACTCGTCCCTTACACACACGTGTGTACCACTCCCACTTCTTCTTCTCTGTGGGCTCTCCCTCTTTTCCCCCTTTCCCAGTCACTTTCCCACACCCACACCTTTCCAGTGACCACCAGTTCCCTCACCGCCTCTGCCCCTCGCACAGGCTTTTGATCTCTCTCTCCCTTCGTTCACCTTCCACAGTAACACCATGTCCCTCATCAACGGGATGTCACCAGCAGAGTCCTCGCCTTCACCTCAGGCCCCAGCAGGAGTGTTGGGGTGCAAATGTGTCGGGGGCAATCCGCTCCCACCACTTCACCATCAGGAAACCTACGAGGACAGAAAAGCTCAGCTCCTGCACCTGGCCAGAGAGAGAAGGTCGTCCTCGTCAACAG